CAAGCTTTTTGCTTACTAATTGGTTTTGTCTGCCTTGGTTGGCTCTGACCTTGATCCTCTGAACCTCAGCTTTCCGAACAGCTAGAATTATGGACATGAGCTACTGGTGCCTAACTGTAGCTCAGTTTTAAATATGGCACTAACCTATTTTTTTGTATTAAAAAATCATTCTGATGTGCCAAAGGAATCAGTTTAAGAAGTTATTATAATAGTAGATCAAGTAAGAAAGATGATGAGAACTTGGATCAGATCTCACCCTTGGCCTTCAGGATCTCATAGGAAAGCACACTCATTAGCCAGATTGAAGATACAGTAACAAGAACTGATATCAAGTTCCAAGCAGGAACCTTTGCAGAAAATGAGGGATTATTTTAACTAAAGATGATTTTTAAAAAATCATCAAGGAAGGCTCCTCTTCTTTACTCATTTACCACTTTTACAGAAGAGAGAATTAAGTCAAGATGAAAAGTTGCTGCATGCCTATAATCACAGACTGAGTTAATTAACATTATAACATCCACTTTGGCTTTTCATATTTGATTCTAATTGTGCAAACCCAAGTCAATAGAAACTAGTTTAGGCACAAAGCGTAATCGGGTATGTATGTATCCTTTCACATTTCTAGTCAAGTGCTGGATAAAGTACAATAAAGAAGGAAAAGAACTAAGCCCTCGACCTCAGATCCAATTCCAATACATTTCCTAGACCTTTTTCTGCACTATTCCAGCCTCTAGAATTTTAGGATAAGAAAGATCCTTAAAAATCAATATCCTTTAAGTTTTATTGTGGTCGTAGCCAATGCAACTACACATGAAAAATAAATCCAGAGAATAAAAACTAAGAAATAAACATAGTTGTGCTGGTAGCTTTAGTATGGTCTTGTTTGAGATCATTTGGGATTGCTGGGACATAGGGGAGCTCTATGTACAGTTTTTTGAGGAACCTCCATACTGCTTTCCAAAGTGGTTGAACAAGTTTACGCTCCCACCAACAATGCAGTAGGGTTCCCTTTTGGCCACATCCCCACCAGCGTCTGTTGCAGCATTATTCACCATAGCTAGAATACGGAACCAACCCAGATGCTCCTCAGTAGATGGATCAAGAAAATGTGATACACACACACACACACACACACACACACACACACACACACACACACTGCCCCATTTGTTAAGAAATGGAAAGACTTGGAAAAAATATATTAAGTGAAGTAAGCCAGGCCCAAAGAAACATAGGCCCCATGGTTTCCCTTATCTGCAATAACTAGTATATGTCTAGGACAAGCAGAAAAGGTCAAAAGCTATGTTTATATGACCATATAAGATGATGCTAAGCGAAATGAACCCCAAGATAGGGACACAAGAAGTTTTTATCTTTGTTGCTGTTGTTTTTAATGTACTTGTAATGTACTATGTGATTTTTTTTATTTCATTCATATGTTCTTCCCCTATAGTATAACCCCTGTTTTCACTGTATTTGATTCCGGTGCCCTGCATCTTGTATATACATTTTTCTAATTTGGAGAGGGGAAGGGAAATAACAAAAAGCTGAAATAAGGATACAGGGTGACTTGTAACAACAAGATGTACAAGACACTATGTTAAAACGAACTTTACAACTTGGGAGGGAGGGAGGAATTGGGGAGGTGGGGAGGAAAGGGATGGTAGGGGAAAACAAAGGAGAGGGTAACAATGCTTGATAGGAAATGGACTCATTACCTTGCTCATGTAACTGTGACACCTCTGTAGAGTGTCTTTACAATAAAAATATATAAATATAACATTTACAACAGCAGCTACAAATATAAACTTTCTGGATATAAAAAGAAATGTTCCGGTCTGGAGGTTTTGTACAAATAGAGAACTTAACAAACACAAATTCCTAAGTTCAAATCCTGGTGCAGACAGAGGAAAGAGAAAAGAGAGAGAGAGAGAGAGAGAGCTGTGAGAGTTGTTAGTTTATTGGAACATTTTATCTAAACAACAACATCAAAAACTTTATAAACTCCCTATTTGTAAAGGAAACCTAAATAAAAGGAAAGTTAAAACATATTCTTAGGTGAGAAAACTCCAATTCATGAGTCAATTCTTTCTAGAACAACCTATGAATTTCATTTTATTTTATTATATATGTGTATATATATATATATAGAGAGAGAGAGAGAGAGAATATTGTCAGGATTTGGGGACTGGAGCTAATTAAAAATTTTGAATAGAAAATTATGAAAAAATCAATGGATGTTCAGAAAATAAAGCACAATGAATTAGATATTAAATATTTGAAAAGTATTTAACCATATAATAAGCATATACTTACATAAATTTAGATTAAAATTATTCTTAAATAACATTTTTATGCACCAACTTAGTAGTTTAGTCCCTCTGGTGATATAAAGTAATATTGAGATGTACATGTTTAGGAGTTATGACCTTTCTAAGGGCAAGAAGTCAAAAGTTATCTGAATTACAAAGATGCATAAGATCTCAGAATTTTGTATCTGGGATGTTTGGCTTGGTTTGCTTTGCTTTGCTTTGTTTTGGTTTTGAGACAAGAGCTTCATTAAATAGCCCAAATTGGCCTTCAACTTGTGATTTTTCTGCCTCAGAATCCTGAGTGCTGGGATTATAGGCATGCACTACTACATTCATCTCTAGGAATTGTTCCTGCATATATTTATATATATATGAGATGCTGCATATGCAAAGCCTATCACTAAGACATTGTAACAGGAAAGGATTGAAAATGCCTTACATGTCTGTCAGTAGGAAACTGGATAGTTTATAGATGGCTATTAAGTGGTGAAATGACCTTTGTTTACTGAAAAAGAATCATCTCCATGATCTATTCAGAGGGGAAAAAATCAGACCTGAGTAGCATACTTGAGGTACCACTATTTGAGGATGGGGAGTATAGTATATATACAAGCTATCTCTTGAGGAATACACAGCAGTCTGATCATATTAGTTGCTTCTGGGGAGCAAAACCGAGTGCCTGGAGGGTGATGTGGAAGGAAGATTGTCACTGTAAGTTATCGCAAACCTGTTTTACTTTTGAATCATATGAGTCAATCACTTATAGTTCACCTGCTGGTTGTTGAAAGAGAAATCACATTAGCCACCAGGCGTGAAGGATGATAGATGGATGCCATACCCAAATGCTTATCAGAAGAGCACGCCTCTAATTCTTGCTCCTTCACCAGCTTGCTGGCCACCCTTAAGTAAGCAACCTCCCCATCAGGGCTAATCCAAGAAAGGTCAAAGAAACTGATTTTCAAGGCCTTCTCTGGTTCTGACAGCCAGAGATATAAAGAGATATAAATTGCAGTTTTTCCTCACACATTTCTTAAGTCATCTCTCTACCACCTCCTTTCCTCTGCAGCTCATCAAATGCTCAGAGGAAAAGACAGACAATTGAAGAAAATAAAATTGCAAAAATGACTTTTATAGGGCTCCTGTTGAATCATTGTGTATTCCACCTCCAAAGCTGAAAATGATGAGTTTAATATCACACAGAGCCGTGCATCTTGTGTCTCTCAAAAGACAGCTTATGCTACCCAGAGAACTGGGAGCTCAGCAAGACATAATTTTTCACTCCAACTTGGAGGCAAATGAAATGACAGTCATCAAGCCCACATTCTAAAAGCAACATGGTTTTCATTTGGCTTTAACTTCATTGGAAAGGGTCCCGAGGAGGGAGAATCTTTCCAAATGGGATCTTTTTCTTTTCCTCAGATTATGTACCCAAAGAAGGTAGAGATGTAGCCAGGTTTTGCTTTAGGTGTCTCCATGTTGGCCATGATGACAATACGTTAATTTTACCAGGGGTCAGGAAGCTTATGTGTTAAGCCCCAATTATTCTATGAGCTTGAGTAAATCTCTTCCACATTCCAGCCCTTCATTTTTCTCACAAAGGACTGATAGATATGTTTTGGGCAGAGAGGTAGGAAAAGAAGGTTGTACTTGAAGGATATTGAAACTCTAATGGCCTAAAAATTTCCTCCATTTCTTCCAGTCCATTATAGTATCTGATCTTTAATTCAGTCCTTCTGAAGACAGTTGCTGAACATCTGTACTTACAGACATTGATCTCTTTACACACATCTCCCATACTTTCTCAGAACATCAACAGTTAGTATCATGCCAACGTAGGAAGCACCTTAAATATATGTAAACAGAGAGCAGAGAAAGACTAGTTGATGTGATTTTCACACTACAAAAGCTTCTTCCCATCATGAGCAATTTAGATGTTATTGGGGAACAGGTATAGGTTCATCATGAAAAAACTAAATAGAAGACACCATAGGTAAAGTTCTCACATATTAGATACATAGGAAGTGGTAGAGATTATTATTACTGTGTCTGATTCCCACTAGGACTCTCTGAGATTGGAATCAAAATACATTTTTCAGATGAGAAAGTTGAGATGCAAAATAGAAACATGATTTATACTAGATCCCCCAGATAGAATGGCAAGTTTGGGGGTGGGGAATGTAATACTAGGCCCCAAACAAATACAATTAGGGTACAATTAGGGAAGCATTTCTGCTTATTGGATGACTATATTTTTCTAATGTCTCATCATGAATGTGTTACCTGTTCTGCACAAGCACCGTCCTCACTGAACATAACAAAAACCTCACTTCCTCAGAACACCTCCACAGAGGGATACTGGTGGCACTGCTCTCAGACCCTGGGGACATACTGGGTAAAAGTGAAGAGAAAGTGATCCTCATCTGCCTCAATGCCTCCAAACACATTGCAAATAGCTGCCAAATGTGCTGACACTAAGGGCCAGATTAAAAGTGTGTGTGTGTGTTTGTGTGTGTGTGTGTTTGTGTGTGTGTGTTTGTGTGTGTGTGTTTGTGTGTGTGTGTGTGTGTGTGTGTGTGTGTGTGTGTGTGCGTGTGTGTACACAAGTACAGGCAGTGTTTGGTTTCGGTCCCATTAAGACAAGCTTTATGGTCCCAGACTTCTCATTTTCTGTCCTTTTTGTCTCAACAGAAAACAAGTTTGGAATTCTATATTGACATCCACGCCCACTCCACCATGATGAATGGCTTCATGTATGGCAATATCTTTGAGGATGAGGAACGGTTCCAAAGGCAGGCTATTTTCCCCAAGCTCCTTTGCCAGAATGCTGAGGACTTCTCCTATGTAAGTCAGAAGCTCTCACAGAGCCACCCCTCTCACCCCGGGATACCCCAGTGCTTTTTCCTTTTGCTGCCTCCCTCTCTTTCTTCTGCCTCGGATCAGTATGAATGGACCTTTATAGAACACTTCCAGTTCTTGCATGAGTGATAAAGGCAGAGGCTTATAAGCTATGAGTTCGTCCTAAATCAGGAAGCAAGACTCCAACAGGGCAGTGTTTGAGTTATCTGAGAAGCTGGCATTTATTTAGTGGGTCTGACCCCAATATTAACAAGGAAAAGAAACTCACTGAGTACCTCCCCCAACTCATGTTGGTTCCAGGGGCTCTTTTTATCTACCCTAACTGGTTTAATTCAAGTTAACATGTCTGCTCAAAGGGCCATATGTCCACCATTCTCTTCTTCCACAACTATTTCCCAGCTTCCATTTCTCTGTCAGTAATTGGCAAGTGAGCTCTGTCTACTCTGACTATACCACAGCTTCCCAGGATGACATGTATAGCTATAGATATGAAAGTCCCCTGCAGACAATAAAGACCTCAACAAACTCCCAAGACTGTTGCTACCTTATCACATGTGAGAAAGATGGTGCAGGTTGTAAGGCAACAGTTTGAAAAGGCTTGCAGCAGAAGGCAAAAGCGAAAAAGAGCAGAGAGCAAAGATAAGGGAAGGATCAGAATATGGTGCTGGAGCATGTGATTTTTTTTGCCCATTTCCCTTTGTTTTGACACTAAATCTCTGGGCCTTGTTATTTCCATGTGGCCACAGGGGGAGAAACCCATGGAGGTCATAGCAATTTTTGGAGTTGATGAGCTGAAAATTCACCTGCTCATTGCTTCAGGCTGGACATTAGTGAGGATGATGGATTTCTTTCTGCTCTGTAAAATGCATTTTGAATCCAAGAATCTTTGCATGTTAGACCAGGAGAGAAACTGAGATCGTTTAGTCTAGTCTTTCTTTCTACCTAAGTGGTACCAATGGTCCAGGAGAGTTGAGAATCTAGTGCAAAGTATCCATCAATTAAAGGTAGAATCAAAGCATGTACCTGCCCATTTGAAGATATATTGGACAAAAATAGCCACACTTTATGTAGGAAGCTCTATGGGATGGCCAACTTGTCTCTTTGAAACCAGGGCAATTTCAGAGCAGGCTCTGGCCTCCTGGGTCCAGATACCTTGGAAGGTAGGTCACAGGTCTCAGAGACCCTCTCAAGGGTGAGGTTTCCAGGACCTACAGAAGATACACCATCTGGAAGCCTTATTTCTGACTTTGTCTAATGATGTTCCTGCAGTGCAATCTCCTTAGGAACTCAAGGCTGGAGTTAAATTATCTATCCTGGTCCAATCAGGGTCACTTCTCTGATTTTCAGATCCCAACTCCAAAATGGGAGAGTTAGATATCACTACAAGGGTTTCAAAGAGACCTTTTCCCATCTGACATTCTATGATTTTTTTTCACCTGTTTTTTTTACTTTAACACACACACACACAGACACACAGAGTTTTGTTTCTTTCACGGTCTCTTTTTTCCCTCTTTTCCTTCTTTGATCTCCCTCTGAATACTGTAAATATCCTCTTACTAAAACCACAGTTTTCATTCCCTTAGATTTCCATGAGTTCACAACATCAAGTGAATTGACCCTCGCAATTCCACTATACAGATGAGAAACTGATGTTAGGCCAACTAAAGCAACATACTTACTGTTTCACCATCAAGAGGCAGTAGAACTTGTGTTTCAACAGAGGACTGGATGGAACTTCTCATTCTTTTCTATCTACAATAATGGGTTATGTCAACACCCTAATGAAGTAGCATGACCCCCAACCTCTGATGATGTGGGACACGAACCTAGCTATCTCTAGTGGGGTTGGAAACATGGGGTTACCTGCAGGCACATAATCCTAGGCTCAGATCTCTACTATTTTTTATTTTTTTTTATTGTGAAAATACTGTACAGAGGGGTTACAATTTCATGGGCAAGATAATGAGTACATTTCTTATCAAACATTGTAGCCTCCTCCTTTGTTTCCCCTTCCCATCCCTTCTGATCCTCCCCCCGGCCCCCCACCCAGTCCTCCCCATTACCCCCCCTCCCTTTATGAGCGTCAGTTTCCCTAACTGTAAAGAGTTAAAATGTTAGCAATTATGCTCAGGCCTTCCTTTGAAGCTTAAATGAGACACTACATGTGAGAACAAGATGATAAACTGAAAGCACTGCCTATAGTTTATTTCTGATGATCAGCATAATGTAGTCCTTTCCAGTTCCCTGTCTGCTTTCCGGCACTCGATGTGCCCCTGTTCAAATTTCCATCGAGAGTTGTTGAATGGCAGTCACTATGACCCAAGAACCCTACTCAATTCTTTCACTTAATTGGGATTGTTGATCCCATCTATCCTTTTAATAACCCCAAGAGATGGGATTTCTAATGAAGAAGACCTGGAGACATGGTATGATTTTCTTGTGACTCAGTAGCCAGAAGGAGCCCAATACTAATAGTTCCCTTTGACTTTTTCTCATAGTCAAGCACGTCCTTCAACCGGGATGCAGTGAAGGCAGGGACTGGCCGACGCTTCCTCGGTGGGCTCCTGGACCACACTTCCTACTGTTATACCCTAGAGGTCTCCTTCTACAGCTACATCATAGGGGGCACCACCGCTGCTGTGCCCTACACTGAAGAAGCCTGTATCCTTCAGCAGATACCCACCTGGTTGTAGGCCACCCCTCATCCATCTGACAGGCTTTCCTGGGAAGGTCAGGAGTCAGTCCCTGCTCAGGAAAAAGGTAGATTTTGGGTAAGCATAAAGGTAGCAAGACCTGGGGATCACATCTTCATACTGTCTTGTTCACCCCTGCCCTTCATATGCCATTCACATGGACATCCTTCCAACTGCGTTTACAAGTTTCAAATCCCCCTGGACCCAGGCCTCCCTACTTGGCCACTCTCTCTTTCCTTTACCCTCCCCTCTCTTGTAAGACAAGTTTTCCACCACCTGTTTTGTTGTTGTACTGGTGTTTGAATTTAAAAGTCTTGGGCTTCATAGGTAAATGTTCTACCCCTTGAGTCTCATCGCCAGCCCTTTTTTGCCTTAATGATTTTTACATTCTGTCCAAGTCCATCTTCAAACCATAATCTTCCTACCTCATCTTCCTCCCCACTTCCCTCTCCATGTAGCTGGGGTGATAGCATGCACAGCTATGTTTGGCTTATTTGTCAGGATATGGTCTCACTAACTTTTTGCACAGGATGGCTCCATGGTCTTCCCAATCTCTTCCTCTGGAGTAGCTGGAATTATAAGCATGAGACACCACACGTAGCCTGAGTCTGCTGCTGTCGGAGGTATGTAAGCACACAGGTTACTACAGGATGACACTCAAAGGTTCCAAGGTAGAGTTTAATGACTGACTCCTTCTAACTCTGAACATGTAAAACCATTTTCTCTTTTATCTCGTACTCTAATACTCTGTTCTGACATGTTCTCGCCTCTCTAGCCACTACTTTTCCTTTTTCTTATTTTCTGCTCCCCACTCCTTCCCCTTCTCATTCTGCACCTCCCTCCTCACTTGCCCTTGCCTCTCTGTTTCATGTTGTCTTCTCTTTTCTTCCCATCCTTCTTTGCTTGCTTCCTCTCCTTTTCACTTCCCCTCCACCTTTCTTAATTTCTTGCCCTTGTCCTCAGTGCATCTATTTCCCTTTCTTTACTTTTTCTCCTAGTTTCTTCATAAAATTTACCTAAAAACTCCTAAGTTTGCCATAATGAAATTAGGGGTTGTTCTTTGGATTCTTTGGGTTTTGGGTTGTTGTTGGTGGTGGTCGTGGGGCTTGAACTCTGGGCCTGGGCGCTGTCCCTCAGCTCTTCAGCTCAAGGTATGCACTCTACCACTTGAGCCACAGTACCACTTCCGGTTTTCTGGTGGTTAATTGGAGATAAGAGTCTCACCAACTTTCCTGCCCAGGCTGGCTTTGAACCACGATCCTCAGATTTCAGCCTCCTGAGTAGCTAGGATTACAGGCATGAGCCACCAGTGCTGGCTTTGATTTTTAAAAGGGGATTATTTAGTAATTCTATCTTCCTGTGTGTTGTTTTTAATTCCAAAAACCACTGTATTATGGCTGTGACAGATGGTAATGTACTCTGTTTTCATTTATTGTTTGGATTTTACATTAATCTCTCTCTCCTTTCCCAACTCATAATTTTCTCAGAGAAAGAACTATAGTTGATGAACAAAAAAGGAAAAGAATGGGAAAAAGTTTGTGGACTGTTGTCCTTCAGTATCTGGTGTGGGGGGGGGCAGGGCTTTGTTCTAGACCTCATCATATAAATGGTATAGTATTTACTTATAACCTGCATATATATTCCCATATACATTAAATCATCTGCAGACTGTTTATAATACCTAGTGCAATGTAAATGCTGTGTAAATACTTGTTATAGTTTATTGTTTAGGGAGTAATGACAAGAAAAGTATACATATTTATTGCAAGTGAATTTAAAAAATCTTTTCTGTCTATGGTTAGCAGAATCCTCAGCTGCAGAAACCGTAGGTATGGAAGGCCCACCATATAAATAAATTTTTCTTCTACAGAAGTAAAAGTGTTCCTCTTATCCCTTCTTTAACCTTTAAGATGTGTATTTGGACTAGTCCACTGAGCCAATGGCAGCCTGGTAGCTCCTAGTTACTTTGCTGGGAACATGGGAAGCAGGACAAGAGTCTGGGAGGGAGGGAGGCTAATAAGGGGTAGGCCTGATATTAGAGCAGTGTTCCATCCCCTATAGAACAGAGTCCCCTCCCCACAAGCACAGAAACTGAGACAGCCATCTTGAAATCTGCTCACTCCGCAAGGCCAAGGCAGCAGGTTCTGCACTGAAACACATGCGCTATTTTTCAAAGTCCTCGCCATTTGTGCCCCCACAGAGGCCCCCTCAGCCTCCTCCCCCTCCACCCCCATTTGATGATTTGTGGTCAGTGACTTCTCCAGAATCCCATCACACTTCAGTACATTCATTAGTCAATTCCATTCTGCACCTGCTTTGCTCCAAAGGAGATAGAAGGAGCTCCTGAAGAAGAGTTCGAGCTTATTCCCCAAAGAGGACATCTGTACCATTGTGCACAGATCCAGACCACGAAGGGACCTCATGAGCTTTTCTGCCTTGATTGATCTTAGCCAACCATCCATCATTTTCAGCCACCTAAGTTGCTAGGATTGCAGGTATAAGCTACCATCACCTGGCTTATACAAGGGACTTCAATAGGAGTGATGGAGATGCCAGAACTACAGATGAAGACATGCCTTAGAAGGCTGTTAAGATGATCCAGATGGAAGATGGTCCAGGCCTAGACTACATTGTTGGCTGTAGGATATCTTGAATGTAGGATTGGGAAGAGTAGGGAGTGAAGTGTTTGGGGATGGTAGTGGGACACAGGAGGTAGTGGTTAGAGAGCGTCAAGGATAAATGAAGAAGTTGTATACCAGCAGAACAAAGCAAAGAGACTGTTGTTCTGTCTGCCAGAGGATGAAAAGGAGAAACTAGAGTTACACCAGAGAAGTGAAGGCTAATTTCAATGCACACAAGGATGATACTTTTATTTCTTTTTGAAATCCTCATCTATTTTATAACAGAGAGACTTTAGCCAGACAGATTGTGATCTTCGCTGGCTGCTGGCTCCATGTCCCAATCAGAAAAAGAAATTACATGGTCTGATGGGAATGGCAGGATGGTCTGGGAGGAAGTGTCCTCTAGACTGTGAGTCAGGAGACCTGGTTCTGATGACAGCACAAGTCACATCCCAGACAGTGCCCTTCAGTAAGTCCTCTAGTCTCTCTGAGGTAAGCTGCCTCACCTTTACAAAGAGACTGAGGACTTTCATGCTTTCCTATCCCTGCTGTAGGCTTAAGATATTCATGGGGGGAAAATATGGTGCTAGCAAAGAGAACAGACTTTATATTCAGATGTATCAGGATTTGAATCTTCTCTCGGCCACTTAACAGATGAGAAAATTACATAAACTCACTGAACCTTGCTTTCCTCACTGACTAAAGAAATTAAATGTATGAGTCAAATTACTGAAAAAGTCAATATGAAGGAGGCCCCACATTTATGTCAGGGAAGAAGCTATGTTGGTAGGACCGTGATGGAGTCACCACAACATGCCATCTGGTTCATGCAGAAGGGAGATACACACTTCCTGTAATGGAGTCTCCTGGTGTCTTTTATCCAGAATGGCTCTTTTCTAGTCTTGTTCTCTGACTTCCTTCTCTTCCATGTCTGGGAAATAGTACAATGGAGGATATAGTTTCTGATCCTTACCTAGCTGTTGACTTTGGGCTACTTATCTCACTACTCTTGAGTCTGTTTCCCCAGTTATAAAATAAAAATCACTCCCATATTGCAAGGTGATCACCCACTCAACAAAAATGCCCCTGTCTCCTCCTTCTCAGTCCTGCAGACCACAGAGCTTTCCATCTGTTTCTTGAATCTTCACCCCCATGATCTGGCTTTGAAATCGGCAATGGAGACTTGAATCTTAATTCCACCATAATGCCTGGCTAGATGTCTTTGAGCCAGTCTTGACCTCCAGGGTGGAATACTTCCTACCTGTCAGAATTAGTATGAAATAAAATTGTGTATGTTTGCTCACTACTCTGATTGTTTCCAGCTCTGATACTCTGAAACTTTTTGTGGTTCTAAATCTGCTATGTGAGTCTATGCTTTCGTGAAATTGTGATCAGTAAACAGTGTCCTAGCAGCTGATCAGATCAAACCAATAGCTACTTTCAGTCTTTAAGGATTCCTAATTTCGAGGCCTCTCCCTGGCTTTGAGAAAAGCCTGGAGCTAAAATGTAAATAGAGGTAATTTTCTGGAAAACCATCGATTTTTACAAGAATATAACAGAGGAGACATCCTCAAATATCTTTCTGGTCCTGGCTTCTGGGACACTTGCCTATCCCCAGTGTGGCAAGAAAGCAGCTCTGGTGTCAGAGTTCCAAGTGTGAGTTTTGCTTAGTATTATTCCTTCTCAGGGCTCTAACTTATTTAACCACTCTGAACCTCGTCTTTAGAGTGAGGTTAATAATTGTTAACTTCTCAAGATTGCTGTGAGGTTGGTAGGGGAAACTTCTTGTTGTCATGATCAAATGAATGACTAAGCACAAACAATACTTGATATTACTAAATATTAGGTCTCTTGACTTTCCTTCTTATCATTTATTATTTTGTGTTGTTGTTGGGAAATGATAGATTCCTTAGACTTTTGGAGCATTCTTCAGCAAACCCTATTTACATTTTACCAGTCCGCCAAGTAATAAATATGCTCTGTTCAAATGATTTAAGAAGAGAAGAGAGAAGGCTAAACTGGAATCATAAAGTAACCAAGAGCTTCTCCTCCCTTTGTTTATGGTCTGGTTACAAGCCAACAGGAAATAGCTCTTTGACATAATAAATGGCAAAAAAAAAAAAAAAAAAAAGCATTATAGAAAGAGACCTAGAGTCCAAGAGTGGATCAGTTGCCACCCAGGCTTGTAGTTTATTGAAGTCAGATAATGCTGGCTGTGGGAGAAGGGTGTGATCATCCAGATCCTACTATGCTGGGTGCAATGGGTCCTCTGAAACATACATCAGACATTGAAGACATCATTTGTTTACTCATCTAGACAGAAAAATTCATTAAGTACTAGAAAGAG